GTGTTCTTTTGTGGCAAGTGTGCTCTGTTGTGGACAAACAGACCAGGATCTGATCTTCTTGATATTTGGATCTTGTCTAGCCTCTCAATACCACTAGAAGAAGGTTCTTTAAAACTAGGTAAGGGATCAGTTTGGTAGCGCTCTTTGTATTGCGTCCAATAGTAGAATGGGAGGTCAGGATCCATTCTCTTCTTAAACTCGTTCTGCACTTTTGGGAGCTGATCAATGAATGTCTTGTGGTCGAAAACTGGGCCAAGAAGGTCATGTAATGTTGATACCAATCCCTCAACATCATCTGTGGAACCCGCTCTCGGGTGCTCCGGCGGAAGTTGTCTTTCTACATACTCTTGTCGTCTTAACTCCTGACTTTCTATGTTGGCAATAAGCCCAACAATCAGTTCCCTTGATAGGCCTCTTATACCCTTTATCGGCCTAAATAGAACCAAATTACAGTTCGAATTAAAAAAAAATATTAAAACTCCAGATATTACTTGGTTGATATTACCTTAGCTACTGAAAATAAAATCTTGTTCTTGACTATCCAGTCACGAAAGTATTCTAGGGCAAATGCCCTTTGTCAAGAATTTACAAAAACGAATGCCTTTTCTTGAGGTGTACAATAATTTTAATAATTATACAGTTTTTAATAGGCTGCCCTGTTATCTACATACATGTATTAGTTAAACTGTTTCAGAAGAGCACTTTAAGCATTCCAGATGTAATATTTTCAAGGGACAACATCTGTCAATATTAAGGCTATATGAAAAACTAATATTTACCTATTTATGTCAATAGTGCTGTAGTCTTTGATGTAACGATGCCATGGCATCCAATCATCGAGAATCCAATGCAACATGTTCATATTTGCTTCTTTCCTGAATTCCTCCGTCAATCCTCTTCCATCAGATGCTTTATGCCAATCATGAACAAGCTTTACGAATTCATATTCTTTTTGATGGCCATTTTCTTTCATGAACTTGATGACACCTACAGAAAAAATCTTCTCGCAGTCAGGGACAGATTGTTTATTGACCCCAGTAAGTGCTGTCTTCGTAAGGCCACTTTTTGGATCGTGCAATGCATCAACAAAACACTTCAAATTGATGCCAGGTATTGATCCAACTCTCAAACAGTTTGTTAGTCTCTTGAGCACGTGGTTGTGATCTTCCCTTTCATGGAAGAATTCTTCGATTTCTTCGTCGTACTCTGGGATGTACAGATGAGTACTGAAATCTCTTCCATTGTCCTTGCTAGTAGCCACTTTACTCTTGAAGAGGTACATTGCCATTAGAGACTTTAAGCAGTCATTTGCTGTTTCCGTTTTACCTTTGGAGTAAAAAGTAAAGAACACACTTGAATTATGGTACTGAAAGATAGAATAATAAGAGAAAACAGTAGCTGTGGAAACTTTGAGATCCTTGGTAAGTAAATGGTTTGCATCATCCAGTTTCATCCTTTCCAATTATTGGCTAAGACAGGGTTTCTTTTAGGAGGGGCCTTGCCCCCTTAAAAACCTGCAGTAAGTTTGAGCTTCACATGAAATTGTTATTTTTGTGGTTTGCTGCCAGAAAGATAAATATAGTTTCCATGTTTGCAATATGCACTAATGGCTCATGATACAAGTTCCTGAACCATTCATACGAAAACTACAAAGATAAATTATTTACAGTACCTACAACCCAGGGGTATGGATCATGGTGATGTGGGAAGTGTGTCCGCCTAAGAATGTGAACGGCACTTTCAAATGATGCTTCGGAAATAGCCATGTAATGGAATAGCCACTGCACATCCTCCACTGGAACAGCAGGATGAACCTTCTGTGGCAAAATAACACCTGCAATTAAAAAAAAGCATTAATTCTTGTCTGACAGAGGTTCCAGAAATATTTCAAAACTGTAACATAAACGTTATTATTGTTGATATTAGCGACATTGCTTCATATTTAATTGTACCTTCTCTCTCAACTGGCGTCAAATACTCCAGTATCGTCTTCACAGATATTGACTGTGCCTCAGATTTTGACTCCATTATCAACTTAATGATGCTAATTGCATCATGATCACCTGTGGTTCGCAGGGAATTAAATTCGCCATCTGTTACAAAGCCTATAACAGCCAAAGACAAAATTAGTATTGAATGTTTAGCAATTTCTGTTTGGGGAAGTTTTGTTTTCAGCAGTCACAAAGCACATTATGTTTTGGCACAACACTTCATCTAAACAATGCATTTAGACAAATGCATTGCTTGAGACAGAAAGTGTCATTAGGTTAGGCCAACCATTTCATGTTTTCATGCTGACACTGCTGATTTGATTAATGCAGAAGGGTAGTTACATACACTGAATACTTTACAGTATATACGGCCATATTTTGAAGCCTGACAAGATTTCAGTTACGGCTCTTCCTACATAAAATGCCAAATGGCAACACCCTTTGGGAAGTGATTGCTTTCAAGACTATATTAAATCCTTACCAACTGGTGTCATGCTAAGCTTCTTCATTTCTGTCACCAGTTCATCTTTTAGCTGGCCAAGCTTTTTATCTGTCAATCCCTTGTACGGAAAAAATCTGACTGGTATGGCGTAAGGCTTCTCATTCCTTTTCTCATCAGATAACATGAAAGCAAACACATGACTTGCAGCAGTTCGTTGCTTACCAAACACACCTTTACAATATTCAGTCAATTTACTTTTCATGGAACTTAAGTGCTTTGCAACATTATCACTTGCATTCGTACATGAGTCGTCCAATTTGCTCAGGAGTTCGCGAGTGTCAGTAACAAATGTTCTATTTTGCTCTAGAATTGTCTCAAAACCAACTACATCCCAGGCCAATCCAAAAAGAATGTTTTCCGAGACACGTGCTTGAGCCCGTTTTGTCTCATACTGTTTTTTCTGCTCCTGATAGGAAGTTTTTAAATTTGTATCATCTTCAAACAACAAATCTAAAAGCTTCCGTAACTTTTCCTTTAGTTCCTCAGGCTTTTTGACATTAAGGCTGTTAACAAAAGCAAGCCGCTCACGATACTGTTCTTCCAACTTTTGCAGTTTTCCATCACACAAATCACAGTCTCCTGACCATTCTCCTCACGCTTTCACGCAGACCTTCGCGAATATCAAAGGCATCTCCTTTAATCCACCATCTGCCATCCGGGATTTTTTTCTTGGCCATCTTCAATGATTCAATCTGGCAAGAGAAATGAGACATTCGTAGTATCAGTTGTATTTGCATACAATATTAATAGTATAATTACATTACGCAAACAAACAATACTACTCACTTGAATAGCAGTATCTTTAGAGAATCCAGTATTTTGGATTTTCCTCTGCAAGGTGCGCACAGAAAGACCAGCAACATTCACACGAGCCTAAAAATTACATGTTCTATTTGTAAACGATGTTACTAGTAATAATGCATATGTTAATAGCCAACTTCAAGCATGCCATTTCGTCAATACTGTAAGAATGACAAAGACATTCTAAAAACCTCATAACATGTATTAATAATTAATAATACAGTAGGTTCCTGTACTATACACTAGAGCACACGATTGCAGTTAGTAGTTATCAGTGTGTGTTTATCAAATATATAATCTATGATATTAATCAAACCAATTGTTCTACTCTAATTGTGCAAAGCATTGCTGCAACTGTTAATTATAATTTCATTCTATCTTTGTTGCTCAAAGGGTTAGAAGATGCAACACTTGAGTTTCAATAAAACCAGATTATATATATTATAGTAGACAGTAAGATATGAAAAATACACAGTAACATATTTTCCATATCCTCACTAATGAAGATATCGATCAAAATGGCAATGCTTTTGTAAAATGTTCGAACGTGATGATAACGTTTCATGATATAAAGGTATTCCTCTAGTTTTTTTTCAGTGAAAAGAAATCTTTTTAAATTATCATTTTGATATGTTTTCATTTTGAATTTGAATAATTTTAATTTTCGTACTTGCAAAAAACAGTGGTTTAAAGATATGACTTTTATCTTCTCGTGGTAAAAACAATAGACTCTGGTTCTGTACTGTATATAAATAAAATCTGGCTTTATTTCTCAAAATAGTCTATGAATGTCTTTTAACCTCCACTTAGCCAATCTTACAAAAAATCATATGAGCAACTTGTTATTGATTTAGTAAGCTGAGATCTGTAAACATTCTAAGAAGCACTTTGAGTCAACTTTACTTCTCAAATTTACCAAATGAATTCATAAACAGTTTCCCCGATGCTTCTATAATCTATTGGCACAACTAACTAGATAAAAACAAAAGTAATGAAATGTAAGATAACTTACTTTAATTGGGTCTTTCTTAACAAGAACCCTCTGTTCTGAACTACAATTCTTTGATATTCTAGGGTCTGCAAGATTTGAACTTGTCATGTCAGCCATTTGCAAATCTTCAGCATCATCACATGTTATGCCAGACCAAAGAGTTGAGACAAAGTTTGATGTCTCTGCAGGGTTTAACGAACATGTTTCAGCTTCATCATCTGATGACATATTACATGCAGCATCCATATTATTGATGTTGCATGAATCATATTGAACAGCTTGCTGCGTGTTACAGGAAGAATAACTTTGATAATTTCCAACTGTCTCGCTAAAAGCTTGTTGCACAATGTTACTTATGTCACCTGTAAGCTTGGTTGCAGCTTCATCTGGCTTCCCCATGCAGGTTACATCACATGGTTGATCGGAATAAAATTCATCTGCCTTTGAATCTTTTGTTGACCACATTGGGCCATTGTATAGAGCTGCCCATTTATGTCCAAAGTGTGTGAACATTGTAGAAAGCCACTCTGAATAATGATCTTCTGTCCTAAGACCATTAGCATCCTCACAAGCAAAAAACATGATGTTATGACTCAGTAAGCCATAAGGCATTCTATGCAGTGGGAGTCTGCATTTTCCATTACCATCTAATGCTAAACATTTTGCCAAATTGTACACAATGTTGTGTTTTTGGTTCTCATAAAGATTACCCATGGCTGAAATTGAAATGTGGAGAAAATCTTTAGGAACAAATGACTGAGGGATGTTTTCATCTATTAGGAATTGGTTATATAAACATGTTGTGAGCTGTGCTCTTTGGACTTTTGTGAGGTCAGAAAACATTTCACAAATCAACTTCATTGCTTGTCCTCTTGAGTTCACATTTGAATGCTTTTCGGTGAAGGGACTATGTTTAAATACTGGTGAAAAGTTTGCTGATGAGTGATAATACTGTGAGGCAGAAATCGGAGTGGATGTATTCGTGTCTTCTGTAGGTATTCTGAGTGGGACATCATTGTCAAAGTATTGGATGTTGAAATGTTCCTCTGCTTCATCAATAGTTTTGAATTTCTGCTTGAAGAATTTAAAAATCTTGGATCGACAAGCGGTTTCTAAAAAAAAAGTTTTATTTTAGTTGAACTACACTGTACTTCCAATTAACAGTAAGGGGCTTATTCAAACAATGAGCAGCACATGGCAAGGTTGTATAAATACACCAAACCTTTTCAAACACATGCTAATTACTATTACCAACACCAGCTACTTTCAACACATCCACTGTTAAGAAGACAATTGATCATCCAGACTATTTGAGATTGTCATGAGAAAAACATTTTAGAATGGAATTAAATTATATTTAATACTAGAAAATACAGTAAAAATGTCAATCAAAATGTTATCATGTTCACGAATGAGAGCATCCAGGTGTCCGAATTTAGACCTGTTTTCAGGCATAGTTTTGCATTATTTCCACATTGCCTTCAAATTTGATTCATGAATAATAATGTATATAACGACTTATAGGAACACATTCTACCTGATCTTGATGGTAAACCAGTTGATTCTGCAATAGCAGCAGCACATTTTCCCCAAAATACCATATCTTTATGTGTTGGCCAAACAGACTTAGAGGAATCATGGTATAGTGCCACGAACTGAACAAAAGCTGAGAGTTCTTTGTCAGACCATGGTGCTGATGTAGCTGTTATCTAATTAATAAAGACAGGTTGTCAAATTGATGAAGCTCTAATATACCAGTTGCAAACAATAATAAAACTAACGAAATACTTCATTGTAGACTCTATGAACAACGTATTCAAAGTATTTTGAAAAATATAAGATACCTCTGATTTATAGACTGGCATATCTTTTCCTGGGCTAAACAGCAGACTTCGCTTGCTTTTAAACGTAAAACCATCATGAGAAGTTCTTGTTTCCTTTTGTGCGGGTTTTCCCAGCGTATTTCCTGGCGAATATGGAACTTTTCGTTTACGCATTGCCATCACCTGAAATATTAATAAACAAAATGGCGTGTCAAAGTACTGCGAAGGGCTTAAAATAGGGTGAAAAGAAACGCGAATATACACTAAACGCGACGAGGTACCCCCTGGTACTCCGTAATATTTTGATTTATTATGTCTTTCTCTGTTGAATTATTCATATATAAAGCTTTAACCATTAGGAATAAGTGAAAAATTTTTAAAGTTTGAAGAGCTTACGAAAGCGAGCTCACAAGACATAAACAAACGCACGTTTGCATAAATCATGAATAAAACATTTATACAAATGAACTTACCGGCGGTATATATGGATAATTGCATGAAAATGTCACATCCTTCCGTTCCCAAAGAGAGATTTCTAATTTAACAATGTTTTGTACTGTAAAAAGACTCTTTTTTGTGCGATACTTTTTCCCTAGTGGCAAGCTCAAGATTTTGTCTTCTGCAGAAGCTAACGCTGATTGGCGCAATTCGACCACGTGGTCTGTGTCGCACACCACCTGAGGGTTAACTATCCTTTGAAAAATGCATTGCGGACAATAAGGAAGATGGCTCTATCGATATGGAAGTTGAAGAAACTAAATTATGCGTGTCTGCTGTTTCCAGTAAACTTGCAACAATGGGTCTGAACGATGTTGTCCAATCGTGGAACCATCACCCAATTCCTGGTATGGTACACCTTAACTTAACAGTTTTTATAAGCAAATATTGTATGGTCACAGAGCTCAGCTTGTTCATTTGAGAGAGCAGCAATTTACTGATATTGTAAACATACAAGAAGCAAAGAAAGAAGTTGTAAATTGAAGATATGGGTTATTCAGAAATGCCATCACAACTTATATGGATATAACAAGAACACTATCAAACAGATAGGCCCTCTTTCTCCACTTTTAACTAAAACATGTTAACTGTTAACAAATATGAACCTAACAGTTTAGAGATCTGATGATAGTAGTTTCATGATTTACTCATTTAGTCTTGACATCCCCAGAAGAACTCATAATAATAATATCTCAATACATATATTGTTAACTTTCGACACTATGTACAATAAAAAGATAAAAGGTAAGGCGATTAAAAGTACTAGTTTCGTCCTTCGGACCTTTTCAACAAATCGCCATTTAGTAAACAAATGTTAAAAACGTTAAAAAACTTCATGTAATACAAATTTATTATCCATCTACTGTTGAAACTTCATGTAATAACATGATCAATCTACTGTCACGATAGCACGGGGAATTTTCACATAATTCCATTCATTCTTTGTGTTTATTAGTTCACTTTGCTTTACTCTGTTGATGTTTACTGCTTCTGTAACCTGTCTGTAACATTGCATCGTCACGGCATCCTATACATGGGCTTCTTCAGTCGGTTGTCCTTCATTCCATTCTCTCTCCTCAATCCAAACTTTTAAGTCAAGTATGGGAAGTTTGTGGTCATTATGGCGTGATGGGCAATCAATTTCCATCTCAATGGATGGGTGAATACTGTTGGCAATAGATTTGAATAAACGCATCGCTCTTTCATCCGCCTCTATCGACCGGTAGTTTATCACCATTAAACCTCAATCCCAACTGGGGCACACCCATTATAGAGTTTACATTGTCCACATAGCGTTTATACATCCATAACTCCAATCTCATCACTTTCATCTTCTGTTTAAACTCTCTATCCCACCAAACCATAAATAGTTGTGCAAGGACCCCAGTCAGTTGAAGACCAATAGGGCCACCTTTAGACTGTAGCTTTATCTCGCTGTCAAAGGCATATATATGGTTTTTCATGATAAACAAGAGGGTTATCTTCATGGCTAAAGTAAACATTCTACGGGTTGTTTGTTCGTCAGGTTTCGCTTCTGGTGGAAGCCATGGTCCAAACCTTTTATCATTGTTGTTATCCATTGCACATCCTGTGATAGTTGGTGGCCTACCTCTGTTCGCCTTGCATGTCGGACAAAAAGGTAATAGACCTAAGTCTGTCAATTCATTCTCAGTTTTATTCAATGCCAGGTATAGCCCTAGTTCCTCTAGGTCTATACCAATCACTTTCACGTTACTCAAATAAAAGATCTCGCACACCTTTTCGACTGTAAACAGGACATCCAAACTCGGGTACAACACCTTCACATCTGCTGATCCTACAATAATATTTTCTGTGATATGACCATCATTCAACCGTTTGAAGTCGGCTAGCATCTCTGCAGTATTCATACAGACACTCTCAGCTTCTTTCCAAACCTCATTCAGAATAAAACTCATCACGTATGATAACTTTCTACTGTATGCTGAAACAGCTCCACATGAAAGTTAACAATATATGTATTGAGATATTATTATTATGAGTTTGAGCAAAACTTTCTTGGCTGCAGCAACAGATATATCTAGACATTGTGGAAATCCTAAGAGGGTTCTAGCAGCCATGAGACACACTATGAAACAGACCACCAAACTTTTGAACGCTTATCACGTAGCAGATTTATTTGAAGACTAGTTGAAGAAGAAGTTACCTACAACTGCAGTTAAATCTTTATGTAACAAATTGTGTACGAGACTACCAAGTAATCGGAAAACAACCCTTATCAACATTGTTATGAAATGGAAACGGAATGATGAATGGAAAGTTGTGAGGACAGAGAGATACAATAACACGAAGATATGGAGGGAGAACAGACCAGTATTAGAAAGAGAGAACATGGCTCACAAATTTAATATTATATGGGAGAAAGAAAAGAACCAGTGTAGAACTTCCCTGTGGCAGAGCAGAAAAAGGAAAGTAGATTTCTTGCAACGGAAATTTGGCTATGAAGAAAAAGTTGTTATGACAGAGGTAGCTAGTATAACTGTGGCAGATCAAATAATACCACCAAATTTTTCAAGTCAACATTGTTATGGTAATGCAACAATAACTAGTAACGAGAAAACGTTGCTGAGCTTACCACCAAAATTTGCTGTTGTAGTAGATTTAGTGAAGTGTGAGTCACAAGTTGAGAAAGCAAAGCTAAGCAAAGCTAAGATGGACAACCCAGAGAATTACGCAGTCAATAAACGAACGAGTCAATCCAAAACCATAGAAACCACTATAATGCAAGAGCAAAGTGAAGAAATCAGAGTATTTAATGAAGAGACTAAAGCATTAGATCTACGCCTGCTTAAACCTACAGATCTACCCTTTAACAATTGAGTAGTGTTGCCAGCACCTTCAGACAACGAAAAAGAGGTGGCTTTACAACATTAAGAGACAGGTTGTCGGAAACAACCAAAAAGTATGTTAAGAGCACGAATTACAGAGTTGCATTGAATGGAAACCTAACGAAAGCAGAGAAGAGTGGACTCAAATCATTGAAAGAAAGAATGAATCAGCAGGAGATTGTAGCGTATCAGACAGACAAATCGGGAAGATTTTCGGTGGATACTATAAATAACTATCGCGAGGCATGTAACACATATAGGGGATGACTACACTGTCAGACATTAATTTCATGAAAAGGTTCAAAAAGAGGCGAATGTGCATTCAACATTTTGGATAAGGATACTGAAAATGGGTGAATGTACAGATGGACAAGCAAGAATAAAGAGTAATATGCTAATCAAAGACTGTACACTTCCTCCTCTATATGCGCTCAGGAAAGACCACAAACACGTCCCAGAACTTTCCCACTTTCCAAGTGGTATGGACGTAGACCTGTTGTTTGAGAAAACAAGAACTTTTGATCTATGAATATTTTTGGGGAAAGTTAAACAAAAAATTCCTTTTGGGCAAATTGATGAGAACATTGGAATAATTTTCTAAAAATAAATTAAAAAGGGTCTCCAACACAAAGTATTTCCAAGTGGTCACCCATCCAATTACTAACTTCGCCTGACTTGTTTTAACTTTGGTGATCCGACGAGAAACGGTGCTTTCCAAGTGGTATATACACAGACATCTTGTTTGAGAAAACAAGAACTTTTGATCGATGAATATTTTGGGGATTAAACAAAAAATAGTCATTTTGGGCAAATCGATGAGAACATTGGAATAATTTTCTATGAATAAATCAAAAGGAGCCTATAACACGAAGTATTTCCATGAGGTCACCCATCCAAGTACTAACTTCTCCTGACTATTTTTAACTTCGGTGATCAGATGAGAACCAGAGCTTTCCAAGTGGTATGGACCTAAACATCTTGTTTGAGAAAACAAGAGCTTTTGATCTATGAATATTTTTTGGGAAAGTTAAACAAAAATATTCCTTTTTGCCAAGTTGATCAAAACATTGGAATAATTTTCAATGAATAAATCAAAAGAAGCGTACGACACAAAGTATTCCCATGAAGTCACCCATCCAAGTACTAACTTCGCCTGAGTTGTTTTAACTTTGGTGATCCGACGAGAAACGGTGCTTTCCAAGTGGTATATACACAGACATCTTGTTTGAGAAAACAAGAACTTTTGATCGATGAATATTTTTGGGGAAAGTTAAACAAAAATAGTCATTTTGGGCAAATCGATGAGAACATTGGAATAATTTTCTATGAATAAATCAAAAGGAGCCTATAACACGAAGTATTTCCATGAGGTCACCCACCCAAGTAATAACTTCGCAACTGTTTAACGTTTGGTGACCGACGAGAACCAGTGCTTTCCAAGTGGTATGGACGTAGACGCGCCTCTAAGAAACAAGAGCTTTTTGATTGTAATATTTTTGGATAAAATTAAAAAAAATAAAATATTCCTTTTGGGAAAATTGATGAAGTATCATTGAAATAATTTTCTATTAATAACTCAAAAGGAGCCTACGACACGAAGTATTCCTAAGAGGTCACCCACCCAAGTACTAACTTCGCCCGACTTGTTTTAACTTTGGTGATCAGACGAGAACCAGTGCTTTCCAAGTGGTATGGACGTAGACATCCCCTTTGAGAAAACAAGAGCTTTTGATCTATGAATATTTTTGGATAAAATTAGAAAAAATATTCCGATTGGGAAAATTGATGAAGTATATTGAAATAATTTTCTATTAATAAATCAAAAGGAGCCTACGACACGAAGTATTCCTAAGAGGTCACCCACCCAAGTACTAACTTTGCCTGACTTGTTTTAACTTCGGGGATCAGACTAGAACCGGTGCTTTCCAAGTGGTATGGACGTAGACCTGTTGTTTGAGAAAACAAGAACTTTTGATCTATGAATATTTTTCGGGAAAGTTAAACAAAAATAGTCATTTTGGGCAAATCAATGAGAACATTGGAATAATTTTCTATGAATAAATCGAAAGGAGCCTATAACACGAAGTATTCCCATGAGGTCACCCATCCAAGTACTAACTTCTCCTGACTATTCATACTGCATAAATTAGGAGCAGAGCATAAAAGACCATCAATTGAGAATAATAAATCACTTGGACTCAACGATAGAAGCATTAACCATGGCTGAAGTGCAGTTTCCTCAACCAAAAGAACAAGAACCTGTCGCTCCTCCACAACAGGAGCCAGAAGTTGCTGTAGAGCCTCCAGAACCTCAAGGAGTCATCGAGCCTCAACAACAAAACGACCCACAACAAGGAGATTTAGAGGTATGGTTTATTAGATTACATGCAGGTGTGGGGGTATTATCTTAGTTGGTCATTATTCGGCAATTCTCACTCACATAAAAATGTTCGGATTCCTCTTGGGGTATAGTGGTTGGCAATAGCCGTCCTCTTCGGCCGCACTTTTCTTATTTGATCTCGCTATGATACCATAAATCTATATGAAGAATTTATATTAGAGTCACCATGGCTGGTTGCCTATGCTTATTCCTTTGTTTAATCGCCCGGGCCATACTATAACCATCGCTCTTTTCCACTTGGCTGGTGATTGTTGTCAAAATTATTTTACCGAAGCTCTTTACGCCAAACAAATAGGTCCTGGATTTGTATAGTGTTCGCTCAGTTTGGCTAGTGCTATACCTGTACTTAGTGAACGCCTATGCATGTAAAAATTAAACAATAATAACCGTCAGCTTAACATACTTAACATATATGATTCATGTAATACACTATTACATGTTGTATGCGGCTTGGGTTCTCTCGCTCTCGAGCGCGTGAGAGGATTACAAGTAAGTGCAAGTGGTGAGTGCAAGCGGCACTAAATAGTGAGTGCAAGCGGCATTAAATAGTGAGTGCAAGCGGCACTAAATAGTGAGTGCAAGCGGCACTAAATAGTGAGTGCAAGAGGCACTAAATAGTGAGTGCAAGCGGCATTAAATAGTGAGTGCAAGCGGCACTAAATAGTGAGTGCAAGCGGCACTAAATAGTGAGTGCAAGAGGCACTAAATAGTGAGTGCAAGCGGCACTAAATAGTGAGTGCAAGGGGCACTAAATAGTGAGTGCAAGCGGCACTAAATAGTGAGTGCAAGAGGCACTAAAGAGTAAGTGCAAGAGGCACTAAAAAGTGAGTGCAAGAGGCACTAAAGAGTAAGTGCAAGAGGCACTAAAGAGTAAGTGCAAGCGGTACTAAATAGTGAGTACAAGAGGCACTAAAGAGTAAGTGCAAGACGCACTAAATAGTGAGTGCACAAGGCACTGTAAAATAGTGAGTGCAAGAGGCACTAAATAGTGAGTGCAAGAGGCAATAATTCGTGAGTGTAAGCGGCACTAATTAGTGAGTGCCAGTGGCACTAAATAGTGAGTCCAAGACGCACTAAATAGTGAGTGCAAGACGCACTAAATAGTGAATGCAAGAGGCACTAAATAGTGAAGGCCGGGGCAATAAACAGTTAGTGCAAGGACACTAAACAATGCGCCCAATGTAACTCTAAACAATGAGAGTAGGGGTACTTAATTAATAGTGAGTGCAGTCATGGCCTAAAACACTGACGCCTGTATTCTAAAACCTTACTCACACTCACATTAATGAGTAGAGGTTCATTACTCGAAAGTGCAACTCTGTACTCACTGAGTATTCTTTCACTCTCAATGAGTGGAAAGTTACACTTGCCCTTGGACCATTCACAAACGGAACTCACTCTCGAAGTAGAGGCCGAGTTTGAGTGGAGTATGAGTGTAGGTTATACCTCCCTTCAACCACACTCAAACAAAGTTGTGATAAACAACATGGCGAATCTATGGCTTGAAATATTGCAACAATTGGACAATTTGCAACGCAATAATGGAAAGGAGAATAGAAATTATTATTTCAACTATGAAATCTATGATGAAGAACAATTTAGAAGTAGATTTAGATTAACTAAGAATGGTTTTCGGGAGATGTTTGACATTATAGAGGCAGATATATCTGCTCATAATGAACGAGGGAATCCAATTCCTGCAGAAATTAAGCTTTTATTGACTTTACGTTATTACGCAACTGGCACGTTTCAGGAAGCATATGCGGACCTTAAGTGCGTATCTGAGGCCATTGCTCGACTGAAAGTTCATTACATCAAATTTCCTGCTGTTGAAATGCTACAGCAAACCAAACTTGAATTCTGGAGAATATGCTCGTTTCCTAATGTTGTTGGGGCGATTGATTGTACCCATATAAAAATTCCATGCCCAGGAGGAGAAAACGCAGAATTGTTTAGAAATCGGAAGGGTTTTTATTAACTGAATGTTCAAGCAGTTTCTGAGTCAAGTCTAGAAATACAGAACATTGTATTGCGGTGGCCAGGCAGTGTGCACGACTCGAGAATATTGGATAACAGTCGCTTGTGCTCTCAGTTTGAGCGTGGTGACATCCAAGGCATGCTTCTCGGTGATAATGGCTATCCTTGTCGACCTTACTTGATGACACCTATAGTGAACCCACATACACCCCCCGAACGTAGATATAGCTACAACGTTTCCCAAATTCGTACAAGAAATACTGTGGAGAGGATGTTCAGGGCTTGGAAAAGGTTATTCCCCTGCCTCTCTATGTCCATTAGAACAAAACTGTCCACTACCGTTACCATTATTGTAGTGACAGGAGTCCTGTACAATTTTATAAGAAGAAGAAATGATCCTATAGAAGAAGAAAACCTAGAGGATCCGGATGAAAATCTTTTACCTGCTATGAACGACTAGACCAAATCCCTGGGAAATGCAACACGTCGTGCTCTCTTAATACAGCAATTTACATCAATTTTTCAAGGAACTGCAACTCGTTTTATTTTGATATTATTATAAAATGAATATGCAAGCTATATGCTTGGTCCATTAACAATTGTTTTTATTCCTTTGCCGTGTAAAGCGCTTCGGAAGCTCTTCTGGAGTATCAATATCAGCCGTTCTTTTTTTGGTAGACGTCCAATATTGTAACTCCGCTTCAAGGACCTCCATCTTCTTCTGGTGTTCCTCCACAAGGTTTTTCCTCTTCAGTTGAAGAATTTCCATCTTCATTGCGTGTTGCTGTTCTTGCATATCCAAGCATCTTCTTTGCGCTGCTGACATTCTACACTTTTTGTAAGTGCGCGGATTCAGCGTCTCCTCAATAACCTCTGATGTTGGTGGTCAACATTCGTTGGAATTAATATATTTGTTCTTTCTTCTACTAGGGATTCATCGTCCTCTTCATTTCCAGTGGCTTCTAGGTTATCTATAGACCAACGGGAAAATATATTGTACAGACTACCGTATATACTTTAATTGTATTGTTATGGTCATAATAGTAGCTATTGATGATGATAATATATGTGGTTTTAATTGTTAAAACTGTTTTTGAAATCTAAAAAACGTGGAGAGTAATGAGTTGTGGGCAAGTATGGGTATAGGGAGGATAAATGCTGCATGGATAGATAACAATGCTTTTATGCATACTATTCCGTATTTATACATATTCAACTTAAATATCTGTGCATATAAGTTTAAATCGAAATTAAGATCGTCATCAGCAACCTACAATTTTTTTCAGTATTATGTATATAATCTGTAACATTAAGCAGTACATATATTTATTTGCTAAAATTCACTTACCGGGTTGATAATTCGTCATTAAATGGATTATCCAGACTATTAATTTGACTTGGAATTATTGCAACAACGGCTTCTGCACCTTCATCTCTCTCTGTCAAAGCCCTACCACCACCAGTCAGTTTGGCTTCTCTCTTCTCCTTTGCAATACTTTTCTTCGCCCGGGACTTGATATCTTCCCAGCATTTCTTTGATTAAACTAATTGTTTCGATTCACGCTTCTGGACACCCGCCTGACTGTTAACTCTTCTGTCAGAGTTACCCAGGCTTTCTTTTTTTGCTGTATACTTTTGTAATCGTTCCTTTTGTTCTCAAGGACATCCTTATGCTTTGCAACTAATTCTGTTATAAGCGACTTCTCTAATTCAGAAAAATATAGTCTTATTTGGGACATATTGCCTGTATTGGTTATGCAGTATCTTGTCTGCACTAAAATAAGCTACACTTCACTGATTTTGATAACAGAGGCGAGTGCGACTCGTATAAGTTATACTTGAGTGACCTCAGTGAATACAAATTGAACAACATTTGTTGAAGATGAGTGTTTCCTCAATGAGCAGAACATATCGCTCACACTCCACTCATGCTCACACTTTAACTCTTCTTGAGTACACCTCACTGGAATGGCACTCAAGTGTTAGTGTGAGTAAGCTTTCAGAATACAGGCGTAAGTGCAGTGGTGCTAAACATTGAGTGTAGTGATATGAAACAGTGAACCCAGTGGAATTCTAAACAATGCAGCCAAGCGGTAATCTACACAATAGTACAAGGAATTCTAAACAAAGCAGGTTGTAACACTATAAATAAGGATTGATTTTTACCACTAAACAGTAAGGTCCACTGGTAGTACTAAACCGTGAATGGCACAAAGTTGTGAGGGCGGGGATGCCAAAGAAGGAGGGTAGTCGTAATACACAATGCATACATTGGTACCACACAAAGAGTGTAGGACCATTATACAACGAGTGAAGGGGGGTGTTTCGCCAAGGACGTTATGGCAGCCTTCATTATCGTATCCCTCATTCGTTTTCAACAGCGGGCATGTATTGTAAGTTAGGCCTGTTAGGGTGGAGTGCTATAACAACCATTAATAACGATAGGTATTGATGTTTTCCCCTACTTTGTTCTTTAAAAACTAAAAAGTGAATTGAGGGAGTTACAAAATTTCTACTCTAACAAAACCGTCGCTCTCAGCCACAAAAAAGAAGATTATTGACTACGCTTCCCGGCCCTTGTCTGAGTTCAACATCCATGAGGCTCTAGATATGTTGGAGCTGCTCGAAAATACCGCAAGAGATTTACAAGATGAAAAGGCTTCATACTACCGCGTGGCATTTCAGACGGCGCGTTCAAAAACAGATTACCCCAAAGAGCACTTCCGCTCTTTAGTTCTTAGGCTGCTAGGGGATAAAGACCACCAGGCCGTGTTCGACATAATTGGTAAAATTGAGAAGACCATGTCCAAACGCCGCTCGGCAATTTCTGTGAGCCGCTCAACTCCACCTTACAGGCGTGAATCACCAAGACGAGATATGTAAAACTTAAAATATTCAGTAAATTTACAACGTTTGCGTCTTTCCGAATATATCGCTCCTTGAATAAATTCTCGTGTGGAACGCGTGCTTGCCCGAAAGGCAAGCTAAGCCCGTTTTCCGTGACGTAATATTGATGCTCTTGATTGTTTGGGATGCTTTCGATTGCTTACGGAAAAAAATCCGCATCGGCAACTTTGCACATTAGTCGTTATAGATGCACACCCACGAAAATATTGGTGGCCAATCTTACACCAATACACTACACAGATGCATAAATTAGCATGTAAAGGGGACAGTGTGTTATTGTATCCCTCGACCCATGGATGGGTTTGCCCACATCCCCTGGAAGGGGACCTTTGGGCACTCCGTATAGAATTTGAGTGACGCTACTATACTCGTGTACTCTCAGTACATAAGATATTCCTGGATTTATTATGGCAAGCCAAACATGACAAAAGTGTATCGAGAATACAAAGCGGTAGTCGAAAATATTAACCTACGTATGAGAATATCAACCGATATTCAACATAAATTAACTATACAGTTTGAGAATTTCACACTGCTGTCGAATTTGTTAAATATGGTTTTGACAATTAGAGGGAGAATTATGAATTATATATCGGGTCGAGATTTTTGACAGTACAAATGTACAGCGGTTGATTTAAAATTATGAGACACTTCATGTAACTCTTCATAATCACAATGCTCATTTAGCCTCATTTTTCAAAATGGCAAATAACACAGATGAACTAAGAGCCTTTTTTCTTGATTGTGAAACACTGTCTGACCGTACTCAACAAATTTTGGAAGATAATGACACAATGGGAGCAGAATACTACAAAATAAAGTGGCAAAACTATATTTCAATTGTGACGGCTATGTGTTCTGCTTTGTCTGTTAACATTGAAACACTATCGGCGGCATTCCAAGAACACAACGAAGGAAGGTTATTGCATTTGCTTAATGAATTGCTTACAGCAATGGAACAAGAGCTTGTAAAACTGACAGGCGTTACAGGTTCACTCCCTGTAGGAAACCCGAGTGATGTGAACATGTGTATGACTATGCCAAGCACCGGGGGAAGACCTGCTTTCAATATATCAAAAGACCAAATTGAAACACTGAGAGATACTACTGGTATGAATTGGAAAGCAATCTCAAATTTTCTGGCTGTTTCAGAGAGAACTCTACTTAGAAGAAGAGACGAATATGGAATACATCCAACGTTTTCCAAAATCAGTGATGAGGATTTAGATGAGCAAGTAAGACAAATTCTTTGCCTACAGGTAACCCAAAACAACTTCATTTCTGACCGAGAAGCCCTGGGTTACACAGATGAATTATGTACATCAGTTGGCATTTAGGGAGGTTTGGGAATGATTTTGTGCAATATTTATTTTTCTTCGTGTGATTGTGTCCTTGTGCCTCGTGTTTGAATCGACATTCTTCCCTCGTGAAAAATATGAATGTCGAAGTGAAAGAGTTTTCAGAACCATGTTCAACAACTAAAAAGGTAAGTTGTTAAGATTTAGATTGTATTCATATGCTGTTGCGGTAATAGCATATTAGTATACCCAAGATTTTCTGTTTTATAGCTGAAACTATATTCAAAGTACTGTTTGCTCTCAGAAAATATTATACATACTACAAATTTAGCGACCCTGCAATGCAGGGTCTGCATGTTTAAGAATTCGATATTTCTATTTACTAGAGTCTATTTTAAAGCCTGTTTTATGCCGAACCAAAGTAATTTTAGAATTTTAAATTAAGTTGCCAAGCTCTGTCGTATTTCAGATTACACCATGACATTCTTTTATCACAAATAATTTCTTTACTATCTTGATGATTACACTGCAAAAACTACCCAAGTAACACAAGATTGCATGGGAAAACTCCAAAGTATTAAATTACCACTATAAAAAATCAATACATGGTCAAAGACTTTGCCCAGAAGCATGGCATATAAATATGAGTAATCATGCTCTGAATAGGGATGACCGTACCCATTTGCCAGAGGAATATGCATCTTATTGGCAGGTGACATCATCCCTTGGGTATCTAAGAAGCTTTGATTCCAGCTTTAGATCACCCCTGATGAAGACAGTAGACTGGACTGTCGAA